TATGAACGCTACAAGGCGCTACATGATGCAATCTGTACGGTTAAAAGCGCTACATGACGCAATCTGTACAGTTAAAAGCGCTACATGACGCAATCTGTACGGTTAAAAGCGCTACATGACGCAATCTGTACGGTTAAAAGCGCTACATGACGCAATCTGTATGGTTAAAAGCGCTACATGATGCAATCTGTATGGTTAAAAGCGCTACATGACGCTTAAAAGCGCTACATGACGCAATCTGTACGGTTACAAGCGCTACATGGAGCAATCTGTATACAAGACTATAATCTAGCATTCATCCACTGTATGCACAAAATTGAAATGAAAGGTATGGGTATGCTAATTAGACTAAGTAGCTAGCTAGCTGGCTAACATCTACATATAAATTACAAAATGTAGCCTTTATTTTGTTGCCTTTGTTGTCTGTTAGACTATTTTAGGCATTTCATATTGCTCATATTTCTCTTTGTTGTAATAAGTATAGAATTTTTTATATATTGATCTATTTACTTGTTTAATAAATAGTTTAATAAAAAGTTAATGTAATATAAGAATCTCAATTAGATTATTGGGTTATTTATTTTTTTTTTAAATCACATTATAAATTGCAATTGCAATTAGATTTGTTTCCCCAATCCATTAGGCTGTTTTTCAATGAATGGCTGATAACGTTTCTCAAGCCACCACCATTGGCAGGTTTGGCAAAAAGTTAGTTTTAGACTTACGGATAATTAAATGCATCCCTCAAGAGAGTTTGCCCGTGTCTGTTCGCAGTGGTACGACGCAGACCAGGATGGGTTGTTGAGCGCAGATGATCTGTCTGGCCTGATGGGGGCGCTGGTGGGTGTCCCTCAGTACTTTATCACAGAGATGTACACGGCGCTGACCACCAGGGAGCGACCCACTGAAGGTAAAAATCACTGCGTTTGAGCTGAGGTGTGCGATATGTATCGTCTACAATAATAGCATAACAGTTGTTTTAACGATATGCAAGCTGAAATGATCAGGTATGTCACGCTAAAAACAAACAAAAACACGTCTTGAGAGTCCAAAAGCATTCACTGCGTGATGAATACAGCAGTTCAAAAACAAGATGTTACATTTTAGATGCAGTATTGTGGCTTTCTTTTTTCATTTTCATTTTCGCCAATGAAAGTAGTTCTAAACAAAACCGGAGCAGGACATTTGTGCATTTCAGAACAACACTATGGGGTTTGGTTCCTGAACGAATCTGTTTTGGAATGAATCATTTGAGTCACTGATTCAATGATCCATTTATAATGACTGGATTACAGCCGTTTTGAACGAATCATTTGAATGAATGATTCAGTGAATCACATATTCAGACTTGCTGCCACCTACTGGTGGTTTTAGTGTCATATTTATCTTTGGCTAATTTTGAATAAGTTAACCTGGCACTTGCCATGAACATATCCATAGAAGCTGACATGGCGTTAAAAAAGGAAAGAAAGAAATTCTTAAACCAGCCAAGATACAAACACAAAAACACAATACGCAAAATATCGTTCAGTTATCGTTACCGAAAAAAATATTGGGATATCATTTGTCGTCAATATCGCACACCCCTAGTTTGAGCCTATAATGCTAATATTTGACGAATGTACGCTAATTGATTACGTATTCAACTTCTAAAGCTTCTCTGCAAGACTTATTGATGACGCATCCAGTTTATCGCAAAGTCTTTACCGAGTATCTCCACTCCAGTGGGCTTGCGGACGGAAATCACAATGGGATTCCCAACGGAAAGGCCAACGGGATTTATAACGGTTACGGAGCGACCAATACGAAGTCCGACTGAGGTTGCATCACAATACTGGGACGAACGTCCGCAAATATGCGACATCTTTATACCAAGCCAAGTGTTAGTTCTTGTTCGGTCCGGCTGGACGTACGTTAACTAACACAGACTGTGAGCGCGAGTTGAGAGTGTAGTTTTGAGGTTACGTTTACGTGTGTACGAGTGATTTCTTTCTTGAGTGTTACTTTTAATTTGTGCTGTTTTCGTGCGAGTCTCTGCACTGGGAATGATACTGTGAGAATATACCACTA